GTATAATAAAAAACAAACAGACAATTATTTCAGAACAAGAAAAAAAATTGTATCCTACTCAAACAGATTCAATTACTGGAAGACAAAACTCAGCTATTTTACGAGCCAAAAATGTAAAAGGTTGGAAGTTATCAAGAAAAGCATAATCGAAAACATATTTTTTTGCCAAATCAACAGGATCGAAAAACATGTGGCAATTATATTCTGATGTAGTTTTTGATAATACTCTAATACTACTCAACATACACGTCTACCCGAACTGTAACAGAAACCAGAATGGATTTTTGAAATGGTGTACTTGAAACAATGTGTAGAAGTAAAGAACAATTTTTGAAATCAGAATATGAAGGTAATGTCAAATTGAATTATATAAAGCAGAGTTTCAGAAACATACTAACCCAAAAGTGAAAATTGTTATTTTGTGCCTAGAAATGCAAATTTATGAAGAAGAACTGAAGATCATGAAAGAAGATGTTTCAAAAGTTTAAGTACCTATTGAGGTATTTGTAGATCTCCATATTTTATTTAAGAATATATGAGTATCAAATATTTGCGAATAATATAATTTCAAATTCTATAAAGAGTACCAATAATCGGTGAAATTTGTTTCTGGAGTTCTCAATATGTTTATTCCAATTAAGATTTTCATCAATATAGAGTCTTAAAAATCTTGTGTATAAAGTACAATTGCATAATAGTAGGAACTAAATTATCAGAAATATTGTTGTAAAGGTTGTTATTCTATATATTTTATGATCATACTGCCTCACATGTTTAGTATAATTTCCGTACGCCACTGCAAGAAACAGATAATAGCAAAAACGTCAGTCATTTCTGAAAATTGATTGCCTATTATTTTGGAATTATAATGTAGTTCTGTTGATGATCTCATTACTTTCAAATTTGTTTGGGAAAAAATTATTAAATCCTTTTGTTCAAGTTATAAATATGAGATGGTTATGAAAATTTCAATATCAATTTTTGAGTTGGAATAACCAAAAAGAAATTTCATTCAAATCATCAATTACTTCAATTTTTCATAGAATCAAAGTCATATCTACAATAAATAATTATAGTAACGTCTGCAAATAGCTTTATTGAACCTATTAACTTCAACAGTGAAATATAACTAATATAAATGAAGAATAATAAAGGTCTCGATACTGATACCGGGGGATCTCAATGTGTCGAATTTCTACACTGACTGATATTATTTCCCATATTCACAAACTGTTTTGCTCATATCATCGGTGAAACCAGAAAATAGTGTAACTCCAAGTTTCAAAAATGTAATGAAACTGAATAAGACTGAATATGCTTGAAAAATGGCCCCGCAAATATCTTTTTAGAGTTTACAATAATGCGATTGGTTATTACCAACTTATTAAAAAATATTTATTACTATTTAAACTTTTTGCTATTTTGTTTCTGTAGGTACACTTATTTTATTTCCATTTCTGATTATTTTGGATATACACACATTTTTAAACAGGTAAATTAGTAACAATGTCTAATACAAAACAATACAAAAGTACATAATACCTATTATTTTATTGAAAAAAAAAAAACGGATACAGATATAAAATGAAACTAATAATGGGGAATATTACCGTGAAAGTAATGATGATCTGCTTTTGAGCTCTTTTTTTAGTGATTGTAAATGCTCGAACTTTTCTTTTTTGATTTTTCTTCTCTCTCCATTTAGAACTGGTAATAGGGTACTATTCAACAAAATATAATCAGTATGTCTTAATTTATATCTCAGTATCCCTCCTTCGTATTTCAAATGTTTTATGTCTATGACTGTAGTAACTCCTACTTTGCGACCACCGAATCGATCCCTCTACGAAACCCTTCTTCACTTGGAAGGATCGATCGCAGCTTGAGAAATGGTTCTTATGGAGATTCTGTGGAATATGTTCTTCCTTACGAATCAGTAGATAGTTGTCCTGAAAATCTAGAGAAGAAAATTGCATTGGATAATTTAGGAAACACTTGCTACATGAATAGCATTTTACAAGTGTTGTTCATGACGAAGAATTTCAAAAACGAAGTTTTAATGATGAAAAAGAACGGAAATGTTTCCTACTTATTCATCAAACTCAAACGACTGTTCATGCAGCTGCAGTTTCGTAAGAAGGTATCATCTTTTCCTCCTCACTGTTTTTAAACATGCCGTGGTTGCGGGATCCACTCTACACACATGGAAGTAAACAAACTTCGGGACACCTTTGATTTTTTCACTGTTGTCTCCAACAACAAGGTTTTTTCGTGTTCTGGATTTTTTGGACGAAATGGTCTGCAATTACCCCTGCTACCTCGAATTTATCCGATTTTGATAAAAATTGACAATGTTATTTTCAGCGACAAGAGGTTCATCTGAAGATTCTTGTAACTTGAATTTTTTGTTGGGTGGAATATCTAAAAATCAAACCTTTTTTGTCCCAAGTCATCTCATCGTGATGCTAACTTGTTTAGCAAGACACGTGTCGAGAGACAGTATGTTTATTCTGATAAGATATATTTTCGTATAATTCAATGTTGATATGAAAATTCTTGTTTCAAAAGTACTTTCTCCTTGGTGTCATCCAATGATCATGTAAAAGTAGTTGTCTCCGAAGGGATTCTCCTTCCAAGACCAAAGGCTCCTGACAGTGAATCTGAAAAAAATTAATTTTCTACCTTTTAGCTGCAATCTATCCAATGATTGTCCATTTGAAACTCTTGATGTCGACGAACAAGGAAAAACACTAAAAATAGATTCCCTGAGAGAAATCAAATAGGTAGTTGGGCGTCTACATAGATAGAAACTTAAGGTGAGACTCTCATATGAAATATATAATGGAAAAACCCCACAACTTCCGTTCCTTGAAAAATTACTCACCTCACGAAGAACTTAAACAATTATATAGTTTCCTAGTGGAGAGCCATTTGAGATATAGTATAACAGGCTGGAATCAGCTCTGCGTGTACACCTCAATCCCTTAGAGGTAATACAAAGGAGATTCATGAAGTTGATCTTGTCTAGAAATTTACATTTCTCGTCAGATCTCCTGTATCAAGATTGTGAAGTTATGGATATGATACAATTATATTATTATTGTACAAACGTGAAGTATCATTTCAGCAAAATCAAAGCATCATCACGAAACCACGACTAGAAACCACGACTATAACACACGACATCGCAACCAACTAACCTATCCTACTGTTGAAAAGACAATTTCACAAAGGGCATATTCTTTCATGGCGACTAAATTATATAATACTGTACCTCACAAAATAAAAAATTCTTATTCCAAACCAATATTTAAAAAACAAATAAGAAAACACATTCTCGAAAAAGATAGACAATTATAAATTAAAAAAACAAATAAGAAAACACATTCTCGAAAAAGATAGACAATTATAAAAAAAATCTGTTAGAGTGAAATAAGTTAGTCTTAGTCAAATTTATCACAAAGTTGTGTCATACTGTATTGTAAGTAGCATAATCTTGTCCATATTGCCTAAGATTTTATCTATTTGTACATTAATATTTTATTCATATAGAACGTGAAATATTTGTCCACGGTTTTATCTATTTTTCTTATTTTTTGCTTGTCTAGTATTCAATCGGCCTATTATACCTCAAGCCGAAATATGTGCCGAGAACCATGTGCCCTGACCAAGCGCAGTGAGCCAAGAATGACAGCCTTCTGCATCTGTGCGGCTAAGATTTCTGCCTTAGTGCTTCAGACCGGTATGATTCGAGAGTAGAGAAGACATCATTCCACCAAGGACTCCAATAATCAGAACAACAATCTTGACAGAGTGATCTGGATAGAGTCTGCGGAGTTCGAAGAGAAAATGTCGATATTTTATCCGTTTTTCCTCCTCTTTTCTGACGATATTCGTCTCGCCAGGAGCTGGTGGTCGAGGAGGACTACATCAGGCTTATTAGCTTGTATGAGCCTGAGGATGGGGAACGAATGGTTCCAATAAATTCGGCGCTTCTCGTTTCCCACAACGGATTCAATATCCCCCGGAGCGTAGGGCAACACCGGTGTCTCGTCAATACCGTAAGAGTGCCGTAGATGGTAATATAGCACTCTTAGGGCCGCGTTATGTCGATGGATATAGGTCAAGACCGCATATGCTGGACATGCTGATAGCAAGTGCATTAGGATCTCGGGTGCCTCGCGGCAGGCCCTGCACCTAGGGTCAGGAACCTCTTCACCCATCACGCGACTGCGGTAGACTAAGTTGTTGAAGACACCATCCTGGCAAGCCATGATGAACCCCTCAGTTTCCGACTTCAGCCCATTCGACCTGAGAAAAGCGAACGTCAGGCGCTTTGATAAGCCAAGGTCTTATTATCATTATGACAGTTTGTATTGTTTCTGAAAGTAATAATATAGTGAAGGTCTTCATTTCTCATCATAATACATACACTCAAATGAAATCCAAAAAAATATATTCGACATAGTGGGAAAAGGCCGGAGATCAGATTCTCATTGCATGATATATACATCTTTGTAGATATTTTATTTTGAACTTAATTATCTTTCTAGTTCCTTTAAAGTTTTCCTCACTTTTTGTATGAAAATTAAGTAAAAAATTAACAATACAATTGTATTTGTGATTGATATTCCAATTTTGATAAGGAATGAATAATCATTATAGGAAATCACAAAATATTCCAAGTCCCACAAAAATAGTCAAGTTGTACGAAATCAAAAATGATAAGAAAATTGATTTCTATTTTGAATTTCAATAACAAATTTTGAGAGAAATTGTGGCCTAAGCAATGGTCTGGCTATGTTCGATTTTCAGGTCCTGAAGTAAGTTATAGAAATATCCTTCGAATTGGTGGAAATTGATGAAATTTCATGATTCATAAAGTTGAATTGTTGAATCATGAAATTACACAAAAATCAGTAGAGCATAGATTGGTCAAAATGAAATGAACAGAGATATGTTCAAGGAATTTGCGTAGATAGTAAAAATCAATACCATCATTTCAGAATATATATTTCATTTATTTCATTTTTATTCTTATGAAATTACAGTCGTACTCAATAAATATTAATTTCCTGAAGTACATTTCACTGTGGGAAAATATTTTATATACAAAATATTGAATTCTTTCAAAAAATTACTCCAAAATAATTGAACAATAAAAAACAGTTGAGCACCGATCTCTGAGTTTGGTATTCAACGGGACTCAATATAAATTGCAGCTTATATTGAAGATTATACTAATATTATTTTATCTCAATACTAGTATAGTAGTACTAGTATTGAAATACTAGTATCATAATTAGCGTAAGTACCGATTCTTCCCAAACAGTTTTGTCTACAAAAATGAATCCCATTGTACTTCAGTTCCTATAAAGAAAAGTCATTCTGCTTATTGACATATCCATAACATTTTCTAAAATCTCTCTATTTTTTCACATTATATTTTTTACTGAACAGAAACTATTTTTTTTTTTGTTATTGGACTTATCTTACTTATAATTCAGAACATCACTAACTATTTTCACTGAAATTCAATGGGCAATCATGAAATTTTCATTCAGGAACTGACAGATGTCTCTGATAACTCTCTCTAGCTATTTTTCTCAGTTGCTCGCTCATACTTCTGCCGGATTCTGCTACCATTTTGTGAAATACTCCATTTTTATTCTGCAGAAGAATATGTGGATGGTCAAACTCAACCATAGTACCACCATCCATGACTAGAACTTTATCTGAGTCCATAATCGTATTCAATCTATGAGCCACCGTTAGTACTGTGCAATGGGCGAATTTCCTGCGGATTGTTTTTTGGATCAAAGCGTCAGTTCTGAAAATTCAAAATCAAAAATTAGTTTATTGATAATTACCAGTGAAAATTATTTTATGACGAAAATTGATACTGAAGAGAAATAATCTAATGTATACGTTAGATGCATTGTCAATTGTTAAAAAGCTTAATAATAATTTTACTGAATGTGTATACAGTCAAAATCAGAAAGGCATAATTTGAGCCAGCTTTGGAGTTATTGAAAAGTAGAAAAATGACGGATATTTATATCTACTACATATATTATGAAAAGTCTACCGCCTCCGCAATATATTTCAGAATTTAAAATACAGAAATATAAAGAATTGTTAAAAAATTTTTTCAGCAGCTGACCGCCTTGAGTCTCGCTCATCTTTAATAGTCGACGATTGAGTCTTCTGTTGATTCCATAGATGGCGTCTTCATATGATGAGACGTCATTACTTTTACACTTTGATATACTTACAATTTATTGATTTTTTTTAGAACTATAGGAAATTGAAAAATAAGTGTACAATAGATATTTCCGATATTTTGATTTTTTTTAAGATCCCATTTTTGAAATTTTCCATTAGGGAAAGCCCATGGGAAAAAATTAATCTACTTTTCTGTACAATCTGTAGAGCAGAGATTAACTTCATATTTTCAAAAAAAAGTTTTTGTTTTCATTTTCCGAATTCGAATTATTCCAATTGGATTGATCCAGATATAGTAATTTTCGCAGAAAAGTTAAAATGTTTCATAGAATGCTATGGCACTTTTCGCAAATACTTTCGATACAATAGATCATCATTATCCTTCATAAAAAACTGAGAAATAATCAAACCGAAGAAAAGTATCCAAAAATGACTTACTGAGGATCAACATTGGCAGTAGCTTCATCCAGCATTAGAATCTTGTTATTTCTAATAATAGCTCTTGCTAAACATATCAGCTGTCTCTGTCCCACGCTGTAATTTGCCCCTCTATCCATCACCCTATTTTCCAGCCTATTCACAACATTAGCAGGATCCTTGAGTTCCACTGCATCAATGGCTCTGTAGAGCACTTCGTCGGAATATTGGTCGAAAGGATCTAAATTATATCTCAAAGTTCCTGAGAATAATACTGGGTCCTGGGGAATTATGGAAATTTTTGAACGCAAATCTTCCATCTTCAGGTCTTTGGTGTCGATTCCATCGATGTTTATAACACCCTCTATAGGAGCCAATCTAAATAAAGCTGCAATAAGTGAAGATTTTCCTGCCCCTGTTCTTCCTACAATTCCTACCTGTAATATATCATAATGATGATTTGTAACCCAATTTCGAAAAGAAATTTGTTTGTCACAGATGGACTAAGCTGTCAACAAAAATAGAAGGCAGAAATTACGAAAAATCAAAAGTAAAAAGAAAGTTCTACAGTAGTAACAGTTCTAAAGTAGTTATTAAACTTCAATAAATCAAATCGACAAATTTAATATTTGGTACTAATCAGCTACACATTCTATTGCAGCACTTTACATACCGGAATGAGCTACATGCATATTTTTCATGGGCCATAAATGAGCCTTTAGATATATTTGATTATCGCATTTACAAAATATTTTCTGAATGCGGCAATTTCAGAAAGTGATAGAAACAAAAATTCAAACAGGTAACCACAAGTGCCAGAAACAAGTGTGACATCTGAAGGGGAGTATTTAATTCAGCGTGTGCATTTTTGTTAGAATAGAGTACTAAATTCA